TTATGCTTTGGTTTCCCTTTTTCCTAGAGTCCATTCAGAACATTTGACTTCTGACAATGGTTGGTTTATATACCAGTTAGGTTACATATAGTGGGTTGGATTATCATATTTTTCTGATAAATACAAGTTCTGAGAAAACATTCCAGTCACCTAGTTTGGACCTAGGCATTTCCCAAATATCTTTTAGATAGATTATTTATGCAGATGTGTGATTTCATCTGTTATGTATTAAGCCTTACCAGCATCATTCATCACTTATCACTCATCTGTTTATTGTGCACTTACCATGTGCCAAACACTGTACTAAACAATGGGATATAGAGAGTTGATAAAACATACTCTCTTTTTGTGGAATTCACAGACATATAAACAGATAATTACATTGTAATGTGATAATTACTCAAGTAGAATCATGTATGAAGTGCTTTGAAAGCAGAGGCAGAAATGCCAGAACAATGGAGAAAAAACTCCCCAAAGAAGAAGTACTGACATTGAGATGTAAAGAATGAGTAAGATTCAGTTGTTAGGAAAGAGCATGTGCAAAACCAGAGCAGTGTGAAGTATTGCATAAATACTGTGTGCTCTAAGTTATTGAAGAGAAGGAGCAGGTGATCCTGGAAACATAGATTGGAACCATGTAAGGAAAGACCTATACTAGGCTATAGGTCTATACTAGGCTAAAGAGATTTAATTTTTAGCTTCAGGAGTAAGCAGACATTTTTAAAGAAGGAGGTATCAAATCATGTATTTTTAATAGAATATTTCAAAAATTGAGATATACGTCTCGTAACATAAAACTCATCATTTTGAAATGTATATGTAAGTGATTTTTAGTAAATCCACTAAATTATACAATCATCAACACTAATTCAGAACATTTCTATCACCCCAAAAAGGAATTCCATACTTATCAGCAATTGATCACAATTTTCCACTCTCCAACACCTTGCTGACAATCACTAATCTTTCAGTCTCTTTGGATTTATCTATTCTAGACATTTAATATGAATGAAATCATATAACACATGGCCTATTGTGTCTGTCTTTTTCACTTAACATAATGTTTTCAATGTTTATCCATGTTATAGTGTGTAACAGTACTTTATTCACTTTTGTAGTTTAATTTTCCATTGTATAGGTATACCACATTTTGTTTAGCCTTTCATCAACTGGTGGACATTTAGATTGGGGGGCTATTATGAATAATGCTGCTATGAACATTCTTGTACAAGCTTTCTATGAACATATGTTTTAAATTCTTCTCGATGTGGAGTGGAATTATTGGGTTATATGGTAACTCCACGTTTCACTATTTGTGGAATTGCCAAACTTCCACAGTGGGAGCATAATTTACATTCCCACCTACAATGTGTGAGGGTTTCAATTTCTCTCCGTCCTCACTAAAACTTGTTATTTTCCATATGTTTAAATAAATGTGAAGTTGTATCTCATTGTGGTTTTCATTTGCATTTTCTTAATGACTAATAATATAGAGAATCTTTTTATGTGTTTATTGTCCATTTGTATCTCTTCTTTGGAGAGATATCTGGTCAGATTATTTGTGCAGAGTTTACTTGGTTTATTTTCTCTTTTTATTGGTGGGTTGTTAAGAGTTGTGTATATATTCTGGATACTGGACCCTTCCTAGTAAATGAAAGATATTTCCTCCTAGTCTTTAGGTTGTTTTTTCACTTTCTTGATAGTACCCTTTTAATGAACAAAATATGAAGTCAAATTTATGTATTTTTCCTTTTATTGCTTTTGGTGTCACATCTAAGGAACTGTTTCCTAATCCAAATCACATGAATTTTCACAATGTTTCCTTTAAAGAATTTTATGGTTTTACTCTTACATTTAGGCATTTTATTCATTTTGAATTAATTTTTGTATATTGCATGAAGTAGGAGTCCAGTTCATTCTTTTGTATGTGGATATTCAGTTGTCCCAGTACCATTAGTGAAAAGACTATCCTTTCCACGTTGAATGATTTTGACACCCCTGTTGAAAATCAATTGGCCATAGATGTATTGATTTGTTTCTTATCACCCAATTCTATTCCATTGATTTATGTTTGTATCCTTATGTTGGTATCATATTTTCTTGATCACTGTAACTTTGTGTTAAGTTTTGAAATTCCAATTTTTTTTCCATTTCAAGATTTTTTTTTGCTATTCTGAGTCCCCTCCAATTTAATATTAATTTTACGATCAGTTTTTTTTCCTCTGGAAAAAAAGGAAGTTGGGATTTTGATGAGAATTGCACTAAATCTATAGATTACTTTTGGTAGTATTGCCATCTTAATGTTAAGTATTCTAGTCCATAAACACAAGGTGTCTTTCCACTCATTTAGATCTTATTTAATTTCTTTCAATACATTTGTAGTTTTCGTTCTACATATCTGGCATTTCCTTGGTTAAAGTTAATTAAGTATTTTATTGTTTTTGATGCTATTGTAAGTGGGATGGCTTTTAAAATTTTATTTTCCAATTTCTCACTGCTAATTGTGTAACAATACAATGCATTTTTCATGTCTTGGTCTTGTATCCTGCAACTTTGCACAACTTTGTCATTAGATAATAGTTTTTTTTGTAGGTTCTTTATGGTTTTCTACTTATACAAACTGAGATAATTTTACTTTTACTTCTCTAATTTGGGCACCTTTTATTACTTTTCCTTGCCTAATTCCTTGGCTGCACCCTCCAGTACAATGTTGACTAGAAGTGATGAGAGCAAATATCCTTGTATTGTTCCTGATTTCAGGAGGAAAATATCCAGTCTTTCACCATTAACTATTAAGTTAGCTGTGGGTTTTTCATACATGTTAGGTGTGGAATTTTCATAAATAACCTTTATTATGTGAAGGAAGCTCCCTTCTTTTCCTATATTCCTGAGTGTTTTTTATTTAATTTCAATCATGAATACATGTTGGATTCTGTGAAATGATTTTCTGTGATTATTGGAATGATCACATATTTTTTCCTTTATTCTATTAACATGGTATATTTCCTTGACTGATTTTTGTAGGTTGAACTACCGTTACATTCCTAGTATGAATCCTAGTTGATTATGGTATATATTCAGAAGCTGCTGGATTTAACTTGCTAGCATTTTATTAAGGATATTTTTCATCTATAGTATTAGAGCTGTAGTTTTTTTTTTTTCCTTGAGACCAATTTGGTAGCAGGTCAAATTTGGCCTCATAGAATGAGTTAGAATGTGTTTCTTCCTTTTCTATTATTTTGGAAGAATTTGAGAAGGATTGGTATTAATTCTTCTTTAAATGTTTGGTAGAATTTTACAATGAAGCCATCTGGTTGTGGACTTTTGGGGGGAGTTTCTTTATTACTGATTCAATCTCCTTTTATAGGTATATTCTCAGACCTCTTTTTATTTCTTCTGAGTCAGTGTTGGTAGTTTGTGTATTTCTAGGAATTTATGGTTGCCATCTAGGTTATTTAATTTGTTGGTACAAATGTTCATATTATTCCCTTACTATCATTTTTGTTTCTGTGAGGTCAATAATAATGTCTCCTTTTTCAATATTATTTTAGTCATTTGAGTCATATTCTTGTTGAGTCTAGCTAATTTGTGTTCATTTTTGGATATTTTCAAATAACCAACTTTTGGTTTCCTAATTCTTTTTTGTTGTTGTTATTATTCTCCTTTCTAGCTTATTTATCTACACTCTAATCTTAATTATTTCCTTTTTTCTTATTGCTTTGGGTATAGCCTGCGCTTCTTATTCTTGTTCCTAAATTTGAAGTTTAGGTTATTGGTTATAGGTTAGGTTACTATATATATATCTAATAATCTAACCAAAATATGTATTTATATAGTTACCACAGTCAAGTTAATTAATACATCTATCTCTTCACGTAGTTACCTTTTGGGGGGATTTTTTTGGTGTGTTGAGGATAATTAGCAAATTTAAAGTACATAATTCAATATTATTAACTGTAGTCACCATGCTGTACATTAGATTGCCTAGAACTTGTTCATTATGTAAATGAAAGTTTATGTCCTTTGACCAAATTTTCCTTATTTTCCCCACCCCTTGGCCCCTGGTAACCACCATTCTGCTCTCCATTTCCTTGAGTTCAACTTTTTTAGATTCCACTATAAATGATACCATGTATTTTTCTTTGTCTGGGTAATTTCACTTAGCATATTGTCTTCCAGGTTAATTTATGTTGTTGCAAATGGCAGGATTTGCTCCCTTTTTGGCTGAATAATATTCCACTGTATATATGTCCCACATTTTGACATTTTCTTTATCCATTTATTCATCAGTGGACACTTAGGTTGTTTCCAGATCTTGGCTTCTGTGAATAATGCTGCAGTGAACATCAGAGTGCAAATATCTCTTCAGGATACTGATTTCATTTCTTTTGGACATATACCTCAAAGTGGTATTGCTAGGTTGTATGGTATTTCTATTTTAACTTTTTGGAACTCTCCATACTATTTTACATAATGCTTGTACCAATTTACATTTCTACTAACAGTGTACAAGTGTTCATATTTTGTACACCATCACCAACACTTGTTATATCTTGTCATTATGATACTAGCATTTTAACAGTTGTCAAGTGATATCTCGTGGTTTTGATTTGCATTTGTCTGATGATTAGTGATGTTGAGCACCTTTTCATGTACCAGTTGGTCATTTGTATGTCCTTGTTAAAAAAAAAGTCTATTTAGATCATTTTGCTCATTTTTTGATATTGAGTTGTATGAGTTCCTTATGTATTTTTGATATTAACCCATTATGAGATATATAATTTGTAAATATTTTCTCCCATTCAATAAGTTGCCTTTTCACTTTATTAATTGTTTCTTTTGCTGTGCAGAAGCTTTTTAATATGATGTTATCCCACTCATTTATTTTTGCTTTTGTTGCCCGTGCTTTTGCTGTTATGTCCAATTATTGCCAAGACCAATGGTAAGGAGTTTTTTCCCCTATTTTTTTCCTAGGATTTTTAGAACTTTGGGTCTTATGTTTAAGTCTTTAATTTGTTTTGAGTTGAATACGGTATACAGTATAAGGAAAGGGTCCAACTTCATACTTTTGCAGGTTGATATCCAGTTTTCCCAGCACCATTTATTGAAGAGACTCCTTCCTCCACTGCATATTCTTGGCATCCTTGTCATAGATTAGTTGACCATATATATGTGGGTTTATTTCTAAGCTGTCTATTCTGTTCCATTGATTTATGTGTCTATTTTTATGCCAGTCCTACACTGCTTTGCCTACTATGACTTTGTAATATAGTTTGAAATCAGGAATTGTGGTGCTTCCAGCTTTTTCATGTTTCTCAAGATTGTTTTGGCTATTTGGGATCTTTTCTGGTTCCATATGAATTTTGATAGGGATTACATTGAATCTGTTGATTACTTTTAGAAGATAGACCCATTCAGAATATTAATTCTTTGAACCCAAGAACACAGGATATCCTTCTATTTATTTGTGCCTTGCATTTTTATCTGTGCATTTGAAGGATCAAATAGCTCTTCCAGTCTTTAGAAAATAGTTTTGTCAGGTAAAGATCTTCTGTCAGTTCTCCAGGCTGATTGGATTACCTCTGGAATTATAATCATGCTTTTTTGGAGCCAGGTCATAAGGCTTTGCTGGGTCAACAATGGGGTCAATGGTTGATGGGCTTGTTACCAGGGGCTTGAGTATATATGGATCTTGTGTGACAGGACTGACTCTAAGACTTAGTTCAGTAACTTGGCAGTGGGACAAGGGTCTGCTTCAGTGTCTACACTTGGGTGCTTAGAGGTCCTGTTACAAAATATATGGACAGGAGGTTTAGCTCCCACCAGGTCTTTGTGAGGATGCCTACATGTCATTAGGTCCCTGGGCAGGCATGATTGGCCCTAGACTATGGCTGAGAGGGGATAGAACCAAGTCTCAAGTCTGCTTCAGGGCCCACAGCTCTGAAGGAATCTGCAGAGCTGGCTCTGGAATCATGGATGGGCATGTCTCCTGTCAGGTCCCTGAGTGGGCAGTATTGCTCCCTGATCATGACTGAGAAAGACTAGAGCTGAGTTACAGGCTGTTTCAGGACTTGCAGTCAGACTGAGATTGGTGGATCTACTTCTAGGAGCACAGATGAGTTTGTCTCCTGGCAGGTCTCTGGGTGGGCAGAACTATTTGTGGACCATGGCTGGGAGGGATTGGAGGCCCATTCCTGGATCTGCTGTCAGACTACGGTTGGCTGGCCTCCTTCCCTGGGCACTGACAGATGTGTTTCCTCTTTGGACTCTGGACTAATAGGACTGCTTTGGGAATGTACCACAGAGGGGCTGGATTCAAATATAGAGGTTTCAGAATCTTCAAGGGTATGGGAAGGTGTGTTTTTCTCAAGGTTCATGGGCCTCCTGGACTGCCACTGGGAGGGGCTGTAGCTGAGTATAGGCCCTTTTAGGATCTCTGGTGGTACAGATGGGAGTATTTTTTTGCTTGGTTCCTGGGATAGCTGTACTGCTCACAGACTACATCTGGAAGGGGCTGGAACCCAGTTACAGGGCTGTTTCAGAATCTACAGTCAGACCAAGTTTGGCAGGCTTACCTCTAATAGCTTCCAGACTACAGCCAAGAGGAGCTGAAGCTGGGCCACAGGTCAATTCAGGGTCCAGAGCTGGGACCAAGAACTAAAGGCCTATTATCTAAGGCACATGTGGGCACGACTCCTCCTGGATCCCTTGGCATGTGGTGCTGGTGGCAGGACCATGGCCAAATTGGGCTGTAGTCAGGTCCATAGGGGTATGGAGCTATTTCTAGATCCATATCCAGGTGTGTTGAAAAGCCTAGATCTAGTATATTAAAACATGAAGATTATGACCTACTGAATGAAGAAGCATAAAGACACAAACATGGGGTAGACAGGTGGCTTTATGCTTCCTCATTCAGTAAGTCATAATCTGCATGCATGACCCCCAGCAGCTAAGCTCCCACTTTTAAGATAGTGAAAACTCTGGTGTTGTTTGATTGATAGCATTATCTCTTGCCTGTGTCTGTTTCCAAATTTGCCTTATCTTATAAAGACACCAGTCATTGGTTTAGAGCCCACTCTAAATTATATCTAAATTTAATCTAAGACTAAATTATATCTACAAAGATCCTGTTTCCAAATAAGGTCACATTCAAAGGGCTAAGGCTTAGGATTTGAATATATCTTTTTTGGAGCCACAATTCAACCCACAGGGATATCCTTATTTCCCAATTCCTCCATTACTGTCAGGTTTTGTGTTAGAAATGTATTTTCAAGTTAACCATTTTGATTCCTTTTTATGTATATTGTAACTTATGTTTTAGTGGTTGCCCTGAAGACTTCAATTAACATCTTAATTTATACCCAGCTCTTTTTCATTAATATCAATTTAATCTCAAAATACATAAAAATACACATATTCCTATATGTGTCCATCTCTCCCCATGCATTTCTGCTGTTTTTGTCACAGATTATAGCATTATACATAGTGTGTCCATCAAACTAGATATATCATTATTCCTTTTCATAGCTGTGTTTTAAATCAAATGGAGAAAAAAGTAGTTATAAATAAAAATGCATTAATATAAACTTTTATATTTACCTTGTTAGTTAGCTTTTCCTGTTGGCCTTTATTTCTTCATGTGGAATTAAGTTCCATTTGATGTCCTTTCATTTCAGCCTAAAAGACTCCTTTTAACATTTTTTATAAGGAAGATCTACTAGTGATGAATTCCTTCAATTTTTGTTTATATAATTTTTGTGTATGTCTTTGTTTATCAATTTTTATTTTAAATGTCTTAATTTCCCATCCATTTTTGAAGGACAGTATTGCTGGATATAGAATTCTTGGTTAGAAGATTGTTTTCAGTACATTGAATATGTCATCCTCCATGATTTCTGATGAGAAACTAGCTGTTAGTCATATTGAAGATGTTTTATACATAATGAAGCATTTCTCTCTTGCTACTTTCAAGGTTCTCTTTGTGTTTCAGTCTCAACAGTTTGATTATGATATGTCTAGGTGTCTAAGTGTGTATCTTTTTAAATTTATCCTGCTTGAAATTTCTTGAGTTACTTGGATGTGTAGATTCATGAATTTAATCGAGTTTGGAAAGTTTTGGCCATTACTTTTTCAAATACTTTTTCTGCCTCTTTCCTCTCTTTCTGAATCTACTATTATGCATTTTTGATGATGTCCCATACACCCATAGGCTCTGTTTATTTTACTTTATTCCTTTTTCTTTCTGTTCCTCAATAGGGCAATCTTAGTTATACTATCTTCAAAACCATTGCTTTTTTCTTTTGCTTGTCCAAATCTGCTGTTGAGACCCTCTAGTACATTTTTCATTTCAGTTTTGTTATTTTTCGACTCCAAATTTTCTGTTTGTTTACTTTATAATTTTTCTCTTTATTGGTGTTCTCAATTTGAAAAGACATTGTTCTCATACTTTATTTCTTTAGACATAATTTTCTTTACCTTATTGAACATATTTAAAATAGCTGATTTAAAGTTGTTATCAAGAGTTCCAGTTCGAGATGGTGATGTAGGAGGATCCTGAAATCACCTCCTCCCACAGATACATTGAATCTACAGCTCCATAGGGAATAGTTTCCTCTGAAAAAACCCTGAAAACTAGCTGACTCCTACACATCAGTGAACAAGAAAAAATCCACATCAAAGTTAGTAGGAGAGGCTGGGATAGTTTCACCATTAACTCCACCGTTAACAGTGTCCCACAATCAGGAGGGGATTTAGGACCCAGAGCTTATCCCAGAGAAGCAAGGGGCTTGAACTGCTTTCCTGTCTCCCCAATTTTTAAGACCTGCACCTGAGTGCTGAGCCTACAAGACATTTAGCTTTGAAAGCCAATAGAGCTTGCATTCATAATACCTACAAGTCTATAGCAAACTGAGAAACAGTTTTTAAGTTCTCACATGGGCTCACCCACCACAGGGATCAGTGCAGAGGCAGTGCCCAGACTTTTTGTGCAAGAGTCTTTATGTATTTGCTTATCTTAATACATCAGCCTGGGGGGAAGGCTTCTAATTGAACACACATCTAATGGTCCTACTGTAATACTTTCCAAAGATGAGGGCCAGCAGACACTATCAGGGATCTATCCTTCTGCATTACTCCAGCTTTCTAGTATCTCCCAAAAAGGAGCTTATACTCTTGTCTGATGCCCTGATTTTTGCAGCTGCTGCCCAGGGGACACTTCTAGATAGCTTGGCTCTAGTAGCCAGTAGGGATTATTCTCACACGTCTTATGCTACAGGATTGTAACAAATACAGAAAGAATTTTTACCTAGCAGCCATCCCTAGGGCACAGCAGAGAGGCAACAGACTGAGGAGCCCAGTCTCTCTGTGAAAGAGGCCTTTCAGCTTAGCTTCATGGCTGCAGCCTGAGGGACAGGCTTATAATTAAAACACACATCTAAGGGCCAAATACAATCCTCTAAAGTCTTTGTCTAGAAATTCCAGCATTTAGCCTTCCTCAGGCAGTTTCTGTTGATTTCCTTTTTTCCCTCTTCATATAAGGAGTTCATCCTTATATCTTTGGACTCCTTATAATCATTTTGTTGAAAATCAGACATATTGAATATTACAGTGTGGCAAGTCTGAAAATCAACTTCTCTCTCCAATTCAGGATTTGTTGTTGCTGCTTATTAGAGTCGTTGCTGTTTGTTTAATTACTTTTCTGAACTAATTCTATAAAGGATGTATATCTGAAAAATTTTGCCTCTGAAGTCTCTGTTCTTTTAGTTTACTGGTCAGCTAATGGTTGGACAGAGATTTCCTTAAACACCTTGAAATAAAAAATTATCCACATTTTGCCAAGGGATCTGAATGTGTGTGTTGTGGCACACCATCAACTCTCACCTAGGTCTTTCTTAATCTTTTTTGTGTATTGAAGGCCTCAAGGTCTGCAATAGGTAAGAGCTTGTGGCCTTCTCAGTTCTTTCCTGAGTATGTGCATAGCCCTGAACATGCAAATGGATGTCTAGATTCCCAAGAATATGTCAGAACCTTTCAAAATTCTTAACAACATCTCATTTTCCAGGCTTTTAGAAAGTCTATTGCTTGCTGCAATCATTATCTATTGCTTTACACAGCAGCATCCTCAGATATTAGCCTGTAAATGTTTTCAACAAATTTCCTTTTCCCCACAAGTATTTTTAGCACTATGAATTTTCTGAGTTTGGTAAAATAAAGACAAGTCCTATAAGTTCATCTTCCAGGGAGCCACTGAACAAGACAGAACAAATAATTAATTACAATTCTTTCTTAATGATGTCTATTCAGCTCCTCTTGTACCAAGAATGAATGCTGTTATTCTTACAGTTGCCACTGAGCTGGGAAGTGGAGATGGGACTCTGTTAAGTTACTTAGTTCACTGTTCTTACAGAAAATCAGCTGTCCTGATAACATCTCTGGATTAATTCAAGCCTTTTGTTAACAACAAGTAAAGCTCAAAGTCAGAGGAAGGAAGCACATATTAAAGATCAGAGAGGAAATAAATAAAATAGAGACAAAAAAAGAGAAAACAATCTAAAAGACCAATGAAACCAAGAGCTGTTTTTTGAAACAATAAACAAAATCAATAAACCTTTAGCTGGGCTCATCAAGAAAAAAGAAAAGAACTCAAATGAATTAAATAAGAAGGTATCAGAGAGATACAAAAACTCATAAGAGAATACTATGAACAGTTTTATGCCAACAAATTGGACAACCAAGAAGAAATGAACAAATTTCTAGAAACATTACCCAATTCCAAAACTGAATCAGGAAGAAATAGACAATTTGAACAGACAGATCACTAGTAGTGAAACTGAATTTGTAATAAAAGAACTCCCAGCAAACAAAACTCTAGGACTGTATGACTACACAAGGGAATTCTACTGAATAATTTAGATCTATTCCTTCTCAAGTGGTTCCAAAAAATTGAAGAGGAGGGAAAACTCAAAAAATTGAAGAGGAGGGAAAACTCTCAAAGTTTCTGAGAGCCCACCATTACCCTGATACAAAAATCAGACAGAAACTAAAATAAAATAAATTTAAAGGCCAAAATCTATGAAGAATACAGATGTAAAAATCCTACAAAAAAATCAGCAAACCAAATACAACAATATATTAAAATGATCACATACCATAGTCAAGTGGGATTTATCCCAGGGATGCAATAACTGTTCAATATCCATTAATCAATCAATATAATACACCATATTAATAAAAGGAAAGGATAAACATCACATTATCACTTCAATGGTTTAAGAAAAGCACTGGAAAAAATTCAACATCCACTCATGATGAAAATCCTCATTAAAGCTGATGTATAGGGAACATATCCTAACATAATAAAGGCCATTTATGACAAACCCACACTTAACATCATACTCAGTGATATACACCTGGAAGCTCTTTCCCTAAAATTAGGAATAAAACATGACTACTCTCTACATTTTTGTCATTTGTGTTTAACATAGTTTTGTAAGTCCTAACCTCAGCAATGAGAAAAAGAAATAAAAGGCATCCAGACTGGAAGATAATAGCTAAAACTCTCACTATTGATAGATGACATGATACTATATATATAACCCTAGAGTCTCCACCAAAAAAAAAAAAATTACAACTAATAAATTAATTCAGTAAAGTTGCAGGATACAAGATTAATATACAGAAAACTGTTGCTTTTCTACACACTAATAATGAGCTATTAGGAAGAGTATTCAAGAAAACAATGTCATTTACAGTTGCATCACAAAGAATAAAATACATAAGAATAAACTTAATCAAGGAGGTCAAAGACCTATACTCTGAAATTTATAAGAAATTGATGAAGGAAACTGAACATGATACAAATAAATAGAAAGCTACCCCTTGTCCATGGATTGGAAGAATTAATATTGTTAACATATACAAACTACTCAGAGCAATCTACAAGTTTAATAAAATCCCTATCAAAATACCCATGATATTTTTTCATAGAACTAGAAAAATAATCCTAAAATTTATAAGGAGCCACAGCATACCCTGAATGGATAAAGCAGTCTTGAGAAGAAAGATCAAAGCTTGAGGTATCATGCTCCCTCACTTTAGACTATACTACAAAGCTACAATAACAAAACAGTATGATACTAGCCAAAAGAAGACGCATAGCTCAATGGAACAGAATAGATAGCCCAGCAATAAACCCATGGACTTTATGGCCATTTAATCTACAATGAAGGAGGCAAGAATATACAGTGGAGAAAATATAATCTCTTTAATGAGTGATGCTGGGAAAACTGTACAGCTACATGTAAAAGAATGAAATTAGAATATTTTCTCACACCTTACACAAAAATAAACTAAAAATGAATTAAAGACCACAATGTAAGACCAGAAACCATAAAACTCCTATAAGAAAACATATACTAACACATTTGGGCATAAATCTTAGCAATATTGTTTTGGATGTGTCTCCTAAGGCAAAGGAAATAAAAGGAAAAAGAAACAAGTGGAACCCAATTAAACTTAAAAGCTTTTGCACAGCAAAGGAAAACATCAACAGAATGAAAAAATAACCTATTGAATGGGAGAAAATATTTGCAAATGAGATAACCAAGAATGGATTAATATCCAAAATATATAAACAGCACATACATCTTAATATGAAAAAAACAAACAAACTCAAAAAACCCAATTAAAAATGAGCAGAACGCCTGAATAGATTTTTTTTCAAAGAAGACACAGATGACCAATGGCACATGAAAAAAAGTGCTGAACTTTGCTAATCATCAGAGTAATGCAAGTCAAAACTGCAATGAGATATCACCTCACACCTGTCAAAATGGCTACCATCAAGAAGACCACAAATAACAAATGTTAGATAGATGTGGAGATAAGGGAACACCCCCATACACTATTGGTGGGATTGTAAATTGGTGCAGGCACTATGGAAACAATATGGAGATTCCTCAAAAAACTAAAAATAGAGCTAACATATGATCCAACATTTTCACTGCTGGGTATATATGTGAAGAAAATGGAAACTATTTTGAAAAGATTCATGCACCCCAATGTTAATAACACCATTATGTATAATAATCAAGATATGGACACAACCTAAGTGGCCATGAATCAACAAAGAAGATGTGGCATATATATACAATGGAATATTTTTTAATTTTGTTTTTTATTGAAGTGTACTTGATTTTATAATGTTAGTTTCTGGTGAACATCAAAGCGATTCAGTTATACATATACATACTTTTTTTTATTCTTTTCCACTTAATATTATTACAAGAAACTAAATATAGTTCCCTGTGCTATACAGTAGGTCCTTGTATACAATGGAATATTATGCAGCCATTAAAAGAATGAAATATTCTGCCTTTTGCAACAATGTATGGACCTAGAGAGTGGTATGCTCAGTGGAACATCAGACAGAGAAAGAGTACTCTATGTTATCATTTCTTTGTGGAATATTAAAGAAGAATGTATATAACAATACACAAACAAACTCAGATATAGAGAACAAACTAGTGGTTACAAGTGGGGAGAAAGATGGGATGGTGGGCATGATAGGGTTATGACATTAAGAGACACAAACTACTGTGTGTAAAATAGATAAGCAACAAGGATATACTTACAGCACCAGGAAATATGGCTGTTATTTTTAATAATTTTCAGTGGAGTATAACCTATACAAATATTGACTTACAAAAAAATCTACAAATAAGGGAACTCTAATGCACTGTTGGTGGGAATGTAAATTGATGTAGCCACTATGGAAAATATTATGGAGGTTCCTACAAAAACTCAAAAGAGAACTATTATATGATCCAGCATTTCTACTCCTGAGTATATGTCTGAAGAAAATAAAAAATACTAATATGAAAAGGTACCTGCATCTCAGTGTTCATAGCAGCGTTATTTACAGTAGCCAAGGTATGGAAGCAACCTAAGTGTCGATCAACAGATGAATGGATAAAGAAGATATGGTATACATATATACAAAATGGAATATTACTCAGAGATATAAAAGAATAAATAGTGCCATTTACAACAACATGGATGGACTTGGAGGCTATTATGCTGAATGAAATAAGTCAGACAGAGAAAGACAAATACTGTATGTTACCATTCATATCTGAATCAACAAAATGAAATGAATGAACATAACAAAACAGAAATAGATGTAGAGGACAAACTTGTGTTATCCTGTAGGGTATGGGAAGGGGAGAGGGGAAGATAGAGATAGGGCATTAAGAGGTACAAACCACTATATATAAAATAAATAAGCTACAAGGATATATTGTACAGCACAGGAAAATATAGCTAATATTTTATAAGTTTAAATATCATATAACCTATAAAAATATTAAATAACTATGTTGTACACCTGAAACTAATTCAATATTGTAAATCAACTATACTTAAATAAAAATGGAAAAATCACTGTAATTCACCATCTTATTATACTGTAAAAACAAAACCATATCATCATACCAGTAGTCACGGACAAAGTATATGATCTCTTCCTGAAAAAATTCCATGGAAATTAGGAATATAAGGGAGTAGTCTCAGTCCAGTAAAGGTCATCCACAAAAACCAATGGGTAACATCCCAATGGTGAAACACTGAATCCTTCACCCCTAAAATCAGGAACAAAGTAATTAAGTCAGTTTCACCACTCTATTCAAGTTTGTACTATATGTTCCATCCAGAACAATCAGAAAAGAAAACATAATAAAGGGAGTCTAGGTCAGAAAGCAGAAGAAAAATCTGTCTTTTATTTGAAGACAACATAATCATCTATGTAGAAAGTCTAATGGAATGTGAAAAGTGTACTAGAATTGATAAATAAATCTAGCACATTTGCAGAATATAAATTACTATTCAAAGATCAGTTGCATTAAGTGTTCAAAGCTATCAGAATTTGATATAAAAATCAACCAATTTATAATAGCATCAAAAATTATGAAATAAAGTACATAGAAATAATAGAAGAAAAAAGTCACAACAGTTGTAAAATTAAACTTCAAAATATTGCTGACAGAAATTAAGAGTTAAATTATTGGTGAAATATAGCATATTCATGAATCAGAATATTCAACATTATTAAGGTGTCTGTTCTCCCAAAATTGATTTGTAGATTCAATATAATCAAAGTAAGAAGACTAGCAGGAATTTTTGTGAACACTGACATGCTGAACATAAAGTTAACACAGAAATGTAAAGAATGTAGACGATTTTAAATTACTTTGAAAAAGAAAAAGCAAAATGGAAGGACTAAAACTTTTGATTCCTGACCTTCTTGTAAAGGTACAGTAATCAAGGGAGTGTGATATATTATTCATTAAGGTAGAGGAAGACCGCATTAGAAAAATTAGAACAGGAAAGGACCTACATGTAGGTGGGAACTCTTGATGGACAAATATGCAAAATATCTTGTTCAGGAATCGTGCTGGAAATCATGGTCCAGAAATAATTGGATATCTCAGAAGAAAAATTATCCATACATTGCACCATTTACAAAATAGTACGCAAAATGTACCACAGACCTAAGTATAAAAACCAAAGCAATAAAACTTCAATGAGAAAAGATAGGAGAAAATATTTGTGACCTTGAGTTAGGGAGAGAAATTTCTGTGGTGTATTGCATTGTTTGAATTGCAGACATTGAAACATCATGGCATCCCTGGAATAAATTCCACTTGATCATAGTGTTTGATCCTTTTCATATATTGTTGAAGTTGGCTTGCTAAAATTGTTTGAAGATTATTACATCTATTTCATCAGAGATACTAGCATGTAATTTTCTCTCTTTTTTGTATTGTATTTGTCTGATTTTGTTATCAGGGAAATGGTGGCCTTGTAAAATGAATTAGAATGGTGTCCCCTCAATTTCAATTTTTTTGAATAGTTTGAGAAGGATAGTTATTAACTCTTCTTTGTATGCTTGGTAGAATTCCCCTATGAAGTTTCCCAATCCTGGACTTTTGTTTTCTGGGAGTTCTTTTATTACAAATTCAATTTGACTACTAGTGATCAGTTTCTTCAGATTGTCTATTTCTTTCTGATTCAGTCTTGGAAAGGGGTATGTTTCTAGAAATTTGTCCACATCTTCTTGATTGTCCAATTTGTTGGCATACAACTGTTCATAGTATTCTCTTATAATATTTTCTTTTTTTCTTTTTCTTAAATTTGATTGTATTGAGTTATACTCAGTCTACAATGTTGTGTCAATTTCCAGCGTAGAGCACAATTTTTCAGTTATACATGAACATACATATATTCATTGTCACACACTTTTTCACCAAGAGCTACCACAAGATCTTGTATATATTTCCTTGTGCTATACAGTATAATCTCGTTTATCTACTCTATATATACCTGTCAGAATCTACAAATTTCGACCTCCCAGTCTGTCCCTTCCCCCCCTCCCCCTGGCAACCACAAGTTTGTATTCTATGTCTATGAGTCTGTTTTTGTTTTGTATTTATGTTTTATTTTTTTTTTTAGTATTCCACATATTAGCGGTTACATATGGCATTTTTCTTTCTCTTTCTGGCTTACTTCACTTAGAATGACATTCTCCAGGAAAATCCATGTTACTGCAAATGGCATTATGTTGTCGCTTTTTATGGCTGAATAGTATTCCATTGTATGACTATACCGCTTCCTCTTTATCCAGTTATCTGTTGATGGACATTTAGGCTGTTTACATGTCATGTCTATTGAAAATAGTGCTGCTATGAACATTGGGCTGCTGGTGTCTTTTTGATGTAGGCTTCCTTCTAGATATATGCCCAGGAGCGGGATTACTCGGTCCTATGTGAAGTCTATTCCTAGTCTTTTGAGGAATCTCCATAGTGTTTTCCATAGTATCTACACCAACCTGCATTCCCACCAGAGGTGTAAGAGGGTTTCCTTTTCTCTGCAGCCTCTCCAGCATTTGTCATTTGTGGACTTTTGAATGATGGCTATTCTGACTGGTGTAAAGTGATACCTCATTGTAGTTTTGATTTGCATTTCTCAGATAATTAGTGATATTGAACATATTTTCATGTGCTTATTGATCTTTCATATGTCTTCCTTGGAGAATTGCTTGTTTAGGTCTTCTGCCCATTTTTGGATTGGGTTGTTTGTTCTTTTGTTATTAAGTCGTATGAGCTGCTTATATATTCTGGAGATCAAGTCTTTGTCAGTTTCATTTGCAAAAATTTTCTTGCATTCCGTAGGTTGTCTTTTTGTTTTACTTATGGTTTCCTTTTCTGTGCAGAAGCTTGTAAGTTTCACTAGGTCCATTTGTTTATTCTTGCTTTTATTTCTATTGCTTGAGTAGACTGTTCTAGGAGAACATTTTTGAGATGTATGTCAGATAATGTTTTGCCTGTATTTTCTTCTTGGAGATTTATTGTATCTTGTCTTATGTTTAAGTCTTTGATCCATTTTGAGTTTAGTTTTGTGTATAGTGTAAGGGAGTGTTCTAGCTTCATTGCTTTACATGCTGCTGTCCAGTTTCCCAACACCATTTTCTAAAGAGACTGTCTTTATTCCACTGTATGTCGTTACCTCCCTTGTCAAAGA